ACGTAACCTACCCCAACCTACCCTAACGTAACGTAACCTAACGTAACCTAACCCAACCCAACCCAACCCAACCGAACCCAACCTAACCTAAGTTAACGCAGGCGTTACTAGTCGTGACGTACAGTAACGGCGTGACGAATTGTGGTCATAAGTGTCAAAAGTCTCATAATCTTTCAAAACGTTACCTAATGTAACAAAATACACCTAATAAACTTAACCTACTCTAACCTAACCCAACGAAACCTAACCTAACCTAACCTAACCCAACCTAACCTAACCTATCTTATCCTAACCAAACATATCGAAACTTTATCCAACGTATTTAAAAATAGCAAAAATTAACGGAGCCTTACGTAACAACGTAAAAATAACCGAGCCGTGCGTAAGATAAATTAGACTTACCGAAACGTGACATGGTGTACACGCGTGTTCAAGCGTGACAAAGCGTGACTATGCGTGTCCATCGCTCACGTCGTGACAAGGGATTACCATAGGTGTCGAATTGTGACGAAGATTTACAAAGCGTGATCAAACGTGATTAAGCGTGACAGAGCGTGATGAAGCGTGACTAGGCGTGGTTTAGAGTAAAGGCGTGACGAGATGTTTCCAGAAGAGTCGAAATATGACGAATTTAAACAATGCGTGACAAAGCGTGACGAAGCGTGACAAGGCGTGATTTACAGTGAAGGCGTGACGAATGGTGCCAGAAGAGTCGTAATATGACGAATTTAAACAAAGCGTGACCATGCGTGACGAAGCGTGACTAGGCGTGATTTACAGTAAATGCGTGACGAGAAGTGGCCAGAGTCGAAATATGAGGAATTTCAACATTGCGTGACCATGCGTGACAAAGCGTGACGAGTCGTGACGTACCGTAACGGCGTGACGAAGTTTTTCCATATCATGGTGGACACGCGTGTTCAAGCTTGACAAAGCGTGACTATGCGTGACCATCGTTCACGTCGTGACAAGGGATTACCATAAGTATCTAATTGTGACGAAGATTTACAAAGCGTGATGAAACGTGACTAAGCGTGATGAAGCGTGACTAGACGTGATTTAGAGTAAAGGCGTGACGAGATGTTTCCAGAAGAGTCGAAGTAGGACGAATTTAAACAAAGCGTGACGAAGCGTGACTAGGCGTTATTTACAGTAAATGCGTGACGAGAAGTGGCCAGAGTCGAAATATGAGGAATTTCAACACTGAGTGACCATGCGCGACAAAGCATGACGAGTCGTGACGTACCGTAACGGCGTGACGAAGTGGTTCCATAAGTTTCGAATCGCCACAAAAATATTCAAATCATTACCGAACATAACAAAATAAACAAAACTAACCTAACCTAACCTAACCTAACCTAGCCTAACCTAAGCTAAGCTAACGTAACCCAACATGCTCACCACCAGTACTTCTAACGTATTGCAATGTATCCAAAAATAACCGATCCTTACGTAACAAAGTAAACTCGCCGAAACGTGATATGATTATCACGCGTGCTCAAGCGTGACTATGCGTGACATGCGGTCACGTCATGACGGATTACCATAAGTGTTCAATTGTGACGAATATTTTCAAATCGTCAGCAAACGTGACAAAGCGTGATGAAGCGTGACTAGGCGTGATTTACTGTAAGGGTGTGACGAAATGTGGCCGGAAGAGTCGAATGATGACGAATTTAAACAATGCGTGACAAAGCGTGACTTGTCGTGACGTACTGTAACGGCGTGACGAATTTTGGCCATAAGTTTTAAATCGTCTCAAAAATTTCAAAACATTACCGAACGTAACAAAATACACTAACCTAACCTAACCTAACCTAACCCAACCTAACCTAAGCTAACGTAACCCAGCACATGCTAACCACTATTACTTCTAACGTATTGCAATGTATCCAAAATAACTGAGCCGTAGGTAACATAATGTAAACTTGCCGAAACGTGATATGGTGATCACGCGTGCTCAAGCGTGACGGCGTGACTATGCGTGACGTGCGGTCACTTCATGACGGATTACCATAAGTGTTGAATTGTGACGAATATTTACAGATCGTGAACAAATGTGACTAAGCGTGATGAAGCGTGACTAGGCGTGATTTACTGTAAAGGCGTGACGAAATGTGGCCGGAAGATTCGAAAGATGACGAATTTAAACAAAGCGTGACCATGCGTGACATTGCGTGACGTGCGGTCACGTCATAACAAGGGATTACCATAAGTGTTAAATTGTGACGAAGATTTACAATGCGTGAGCAAACGTAACTAAGCGCGACAGAGCGTGATGAAGCGTGACTAGGCGTGGTTTTCTGTAAAGGGGTGAGGAGATGTGGCCAGAATAGTCGAAAGATGACGAATATATATTAAGCGTGACCATGCGTGACAAAGCGTCACTAGTCGTGACTTACTGTAACGGCGTCACGACGTGTGGCCGTAAGTGTCGAAACGTTACAAATATTTTTAAAACATTACCTAACTTAACAAAATACACCATCCGAACCTAATATAACTTAAAATAACCTAAGTTAACCCAACCTAACGTAAGTTAGCCGAACTTAACCTAACCTAACGTCACCCTACTCATCCTAACCTAACTTGTCGTTACTTCATCTAAGGTATTGGAATATAGCTAAAATTAACCGTACTTTACCTAACATGACGTAAGCGTGCCGAAGCATGACTTAGTGATCACGCTTGCTCAAGCGTGACTAAGCGTGACCTGCGGTGACGTCGTGACTAGGGTTTATACAAAAACCGACTTTTGAAAAACCGGTTTTCGAATTCCAGTATTTCCAAAAAAAACCCTCTTAAACCGGTTTACGAATTTTTACAAAAAATAAAACAAAATATAGTTGAAACATTAAAAAATATTTATACTTATTTTAAATTTTTTCAGTTTATTTAATATTTATGGAACTATAAAAATATAACAGAATAAAATATACTCTATACAAAACCAAGTAAAAGAACTAAAATAAGTAAAATCCGTACAAAATATGGATTATAAACTATGTCGGTTGCTAGATCCAAGTTAAAAAGTTGTAGCCTCTCCGAAACTAATTTTAATGTTTTCATAGCATCGCAGGAACTAGCTATTGGAACTAAGCCCAAATTAAAATCTTCCGCAAAATGGTGTACGTTAATATTGAAATATCTGCGATTTCTTTTGCTAGTCACTCATCTAAAGTTATAGAATTTTTTTCCCATTCTTCTTAATACAATCCAATTCATTTATAATTTCACGTTTGGCATTGTCATAAAACTTATGAATGAGATCCATTACTCGAAAGTTATTTTTTGGTAATGAATATCCCCGTTGTTGCAAAGACTCTCGTATGAACGTGCTTGTTGTAATGCTATTAATGGACAATCCATCCATTGCAGAAAGTTTTGCTATAATTCCTTCTAAACTGCTCTTTTCCACGAAATTAAAAATAGAACGCGTTTGTGGATTTGCATGTCAAACATTCGCCTGACTCATGAAGATTAGTTTTACTACAATATGCTTGTGCCCGATGCGATTTCAAGTCAAAATATTAACGTTTTTAATTAATTAATTAACTAATTTTTCCATATTAATTCTAGTATATAAAACCGGTTTTTTAAATTTTAAAAACCGACAAACCCCTTGTACCGACATCCTATTTTCAATTTTCATTCTTCCCTATTCATTCACTGTCATTGAATTGTGGATTTCCTTTCATCCTTTTAATTCTTGGTCATTCTCTTCTTTTCCTTCGTGGTAGCATCCATTCCAGCACATGTTTGGACCATCTGTTTTGTGTCAATCTTTGAATGTGCGAATACTGTGATAATTGTTTTGTTTGTTGTTGTCCAAAATATAATCGTGTAAACCAAATTTTCTCTCAAATTACAATATTCTGAATTTTCCGTAGAATGTGTATTATGACTTTTTTTAAACTTTGTCGTACATAATCGTCATTTCATACCTTCCTCAATATGAAATAAATACTAGTCATTAGTGCAGAGCTCTTGTCTTGTTTCAGCTCGGAGAGAAGGGCTCTGGCCTCAGGTCACGTGGAGAGGTACAGGACTTCTTCAAGATCCGTGATCGATGCCTGGAGGAAGGAACTCTGTTTGAGGACCCTGATTTCCCGGCAGTAGATTCATCGATATTCTTCAGCAAGACCCCGCCCCGACCATTCGAATGGAAGAGACCCATTGTGAGTTCACTCCCGCTAACTCTATAGAACAGAGTACAATTATTATTCAGTATGTCAGTATCATGAAAGTCTCTAATGTTATTTAACCTTGTAGTTCATAGCTGTGTTTATTAACACCAACATTGAACTGGAGAAAAAAAAACATTTCAGTCGACTTGACATTGCAGTGGCGAGCATTTGTTACTTACATCGCTGCATACATTTATTTTATTGATATGATATGACTGATTTTGGGTCATGATGCCGAACCGCTCGATATGCGCGTAAAACTGTGAATGTTGATTGCAGGAAATTGCAGATAACCCAGAGTTGTTCGTGGAGGGCGCCACCAGGTTCGATGTACAGCAAGGGGAGCTTGGTGAGTGACGGGAAATTGGACCGATGCTAGGACAAAGTGGTTTTGTCAGCAGAAGAATTGGTTAAGGTCACAGCTGTCGATGAAAATGTCAACAGAACGACAGTGTTTACTTTGTACAGAGTAGACACCGCAAAATTCTGCGTGATCGTCGCACCAATAAAATCATTTAAAGTTCTCTCTGACGCACTGTTCGGTTTCCGTCTTGAAAAAATAAACCCGTGCCCTTTATTATCCAGAAAAGAATATTATTTAAAGGTACGTCAATACTCTTATTTTGCTTTCACAGTTTATTTACTGTGTTTCTTTATTACGCCGTCTCCCTTACAGGAGGTTGGCGACATATTATGAACAGGATTATGTTTTTTAGGCAGGTGATACAGAAGTGGTTTGCCATTGCCTTCTTCTGTGTTTATGGAGTGCCACGGAAGTGAGCCCCGGAGGAAAACTCCGTGTTGCCTAGACCACGGCCTTGCCCAACACAAGTTAAAAATTCGGGCACCGCCGGGAATCGAACCCGAGACCCCAGGATTACAAGGCCAGCGTTCTAACCGCTAGACCACCGTGGCTGTCTGTTTCTTTATGAAACACTGATTACATAATTTTAATCTTATCAAGTCCTCTGTTTCGCATTTAAAAAAAATTAATACTACCTGATGTAGTGTCATTTAATAAAAAAAATACTTAATCTTTTAAGTTAATATATTTTATGTAATTCATTGCCGTGTACAGTAGTACAGTACCGTAAACGTATGTGACGTTTAATTGTGAAAGCAGATAAGTACGTGACGCATTGCCGGCTGGCTGCTTGCGAGCCGCATCGCATGCGCAATGTTGGTTAAATAAGAGGTTAGGTTAGGCGTAAGAAGTGTTTCACATGTGCGAAGAACGGGGGGAGATGCCACGGAGACTTGTTTGACGTGTTGCTCGTTGCAGGCGACTGCTGGCTGCTGGCAGCCGTTGCTAACCTCACTCTCAGCAAGGGATTGTTCTCGCAAATAGTTCCTGATGATCAAGGCTTTGGGGACAAATATGCTGGCATATTTCACTTCAGGTATGTGTCATGATTCTGAAGTTGGTCGGCCTGGCAATATAAACGGGCGGAAACTCCATTGTCTGTTGAGTACGTTTTTCTTTTACGCGATAGGGAATGAATGGATCATAAAATATAGCACAGGTGTATTAAAAAGTTTTTAGATTTTAATGTGAATTGATTAAAAGTACGCTGTAAATTATAACAAAAAGGGAAACATATTTTATTAAATATGTTTCTCCATTTTATATGTTATTAGAGGGGCTTGATGTATTTGAAATTGGTACGTGTAAAATTCATTAATTGGGAGGGGACTGTTGTTATTTATGCAGGTTCTGGCAATATGGACGCTGGGTGGATGTCGTAATAGATGACCGACTGCCCACTTACTATGGGAAACTGGTGTTCCTCCACTCATCGGAGCACAATGAATTCTGGAGCGCTCTCCTTGAGAAGGCATATGCAAAGTGAGTAGAAACGCTACAGCCAAGAAAATTACTTAATGATCTGTTATGGTTTCATAACTTTTGTCGGATGATGTCAGAGCTCATTCTTTCATCATTTCCTGTTTAGTTTCTTCTGTGTGTGAAAGGTAAGAGGTTCATATGTAATTCTGCTGGTGGAACTTGGAAGGTAGTCTCTGAGAAAACCAAAAAGTAGATGGAAGTAGATATTGCGACTTATCTTGAATCTGAACTTGATGAACCTGGGTCAGGATCATGTCTGATGACAGTATTTAACTTTAGGTTTCATTACCACACATTTGGTGGTTTAGTTGATCAGATATTGAGTACCTGTGTTCAGATCTGGACCCAGGTCTGAGGCTAGCTCAACCAGGGAGCAGAATCTAGTTTTCAAAAGAATGTAGTTTTATAATTCAGAGGATGGATAATTTTACATTTTTTCTATACTTGGTTATTTGTAAAATGATGTCATTTGTACAAGAAAAAATGTGGGTATTAGAACAACTGCTCGTACCATGGAAATGTTTTGAAAATTTGGTTACGTGTGACGTGTAATTAACATAATGATGCTTTCAGGCTGCATGGATCGTATGAGGCGTTGAAGGGGGGAACAACATGCGAAGCAATGGAGGACTTCACAGGGGGCGTGACAGAAATGTACGAGCTGAATCAAGCTCCTCCGAACCTCTACAGGATAATGCTGAAGGCATATGAACGCTCATCTCTGATGGGCTGTTCAATTGAGGTATGGGGCAGTATGTATAACCCACGACAGACAGACCACTGCGAACAGACTAGCTAACACCTAGGTTCAGCTATTGGTAATTACTCAGTAGTTACCTACGTTGTCAAGAAATGTTCTGCTTAGGAATCGCGGGTTTCATTACCGTGTTTACAAAAACCCTACGTTGAATCCTATTCTGAACCATTTTACTCAAGTCATGTCTTCATTATCTATTCTCTGATGCTTTTTAATATTGTCTTCCCATGTACGTCTAGGTCACCCAAGTGGTGTCTTGGTTTCTTCAACCAAATTTACAGAGCCCCTCAATATATAATTTTCTCCGAGCTCGTCTCCATTTTTCTTAGGTCCGTACTTGACGTGAACAGACTGAAAATGTTTGTGATAAAGTGTAAGGTTAATTCTGTATGTTTTGTTTATTTTTCGCTGCGTCACTAAATGGATCCTGCACACTCACTATATTAATTTGTAGCCTGATCCAAATGTCCTGGAAGCACATACCTCAGAGGGCCTTATCAAGGGACATGCCTACAGCATAACGAGGGTGAAATATGTCGACATACAGACGCCACGCAGCTCAGGGAAGATTCCCCTCGTCAGAGTACGTAATCCGTGGGGAAATGAAGCTGAATGGAATGGACCGTGGGGTGACAAGTGAGTGAATTGCCAAGAAAGATTTGCCGAATCTTTTGTTTGCTATCATAAGGTCTGTGTGCGTGCCCGGCGAATTTTCAAGTGAACATTACAATGAATATCATTCCACCATATTTGTACATTATGATTTTCTACTTTCAGTATTGCCAACATGAGAACTTTGCGACCTTCTGATATGGGAACAACGCTGGTCCTAGTAGCATTACCGTGTTTACTTCCCTTGTTTATCAGGTCTCCTGAGTGGCGATTCATTCCAGATGAGGAGAAGGAAGAGATCGGCCTCACGTTTGATGATGATGGCGAGTTTTGGATGTCATACAAAGACTTCCAGACGCACTTCTCGCGGCTTGAGATCTGCAATCTGAATCCAGACTCGTTATCTGAGGAGGAAATGCTCGGATCAGACAAGAGAAAGTGGGAAATGAGCATGTTTGAGGGCGAGTGGGTGCGAGGTGTCACAGCTGGAGGCTGCAGGAACTACCTTGGTGAGAATTCGTATGGTAGCGTTTTATACTAGGGTTGTCTGCATTTCTACTGTGGTAGAAATAGCCACACAGTGTTGAGGCTAGAAGGAACTTCCTGTTCTGTACATTTTAAAACAGTCTTTATGATCTCTTAACATTCACTGTCATGTCTGTGTCAGCGGTGACGTACTGTCGGTGCCAAACAATTCTTGGAAGGTTACTTCATCGTAACAGTCATCAGCCATGTATGCTGTATGGAATGTAATTTACTGAATTAGTCATCTTTTAAACTCAGGTTGTCTGTGAATGTGTTTTTGTTTGGAATCAAAAACAAATGTTTAGGTAAGGTAAAGGCTGATAGTTTCTTAATATAACAGAGGGAATAATTGTACTTAATTGGTGGAAAATATGTTAAATGTTGCTGTCATGGTCTCGTTTCTTATTTCAGAAAAAAAGTTAATTGAGAGAATGAGACTGTTGAATCTAATGTAAATACCAGATGTTTAGGAAGTTGAAAAACAACTGTAAAATTGTCTCACATGCCTAATGTCGGCCTACGCTACAAGTTAATTCTGAAAAAAACATGGCCAGTGGGTTAATGTCCTTCAGACTGACATAAGATGTAAGAAACAAAATGTTAAGGAAACTTATTTGCAGAGCACATTCATGATAAGAAGGAAGAAAGTTTTATGTTTATGTAACTCTTGCATTAGTTAGTAAGAGTGCAGGAAACTAATTTTTTCACCACTGAGATTTGGAATTTGTGGTTGATTAGTTTTGATGATAAATGTCAGTAGTTGACAGTAGCTGAGTATTCTGTGGTAAGGTCAAAAAGACAGTGTGACAAACAAGAAAGTTATCTAGTAAGTTAACTCTTACACCTGAAATAGAAATTACATGTCTTCCTATAAAAATTAAATCCGTGGCTTAATAGCTCCAGAGAGCCGAAGCCGACTAGCTTGACTGCTGGCCTCACGTTCACATGCGTAAGCAGAGGTGAACGATCGTCAATGTTGCCAGTAGATGGCAGAAGCTGTATATGTCTTTAGTTACATCATCTGCTGGCCACCTAACACAAACAAATCAGAATTTCATGTCAAGAGAACCTCAATAAATAAGAAATTTGTGATGCTTATTGTTGCTGTAACATTTTGAGGATAAAGGGTTAAATAAGAAGGGAGAAAGAAATTTAAGGGGAACAAAAATTGGTTTCTCAGCAGGTCAGCAATTTTGAGAGACTGTTCCACAAGCTAACATGTTGCAAGATTATCACTGAAAATTTGAACAAAAGCTACCAGATAGATTTGCATATTCCTCGGTTACAGAAACGTTCTGGCACAACCCACAGTATCGAATCACATTGGAGGACCCAGACGATGAGGATGAAGACAACAAGTGCACTGTCATCGTGGGGCTGATGCAGAAGAACCATCGGTCACAGCGCAGGATGGGCATGGAATGCCTGACCATTGGGTTTGCCATGTACCATGTAAGAGAATTCTGTGATTTTGTGTTTAGATCAAGTAACAAACTATACAACACAAGATCTTTCTTCAGCGATTCATACTTGCCAAAGTGATTTCGTATTGTTATAAAATCTGATGGTTATCCACCAACCACTTTATTTGACAACTTGCTTATTTCAGGTCTCGATCGGTTTACTTTTCTTTCAGACTCGCCAAAACATTACATATTAGTAATCCTCTGCAGTTGATACAACAGCAATAATTCTGATTTGTAACATGCAGCAAATGTTTGTCTTTGTGGCAGCTGCAAGACCCAGATAACCTCCCAAAACCGCTTGACCTCAATTTCTTCAAGTACAACGCGTCTGTCGCACGGTCCCCGTCATTTATCAACCTACGCGAGGTCAGTTGTCGCTTCAAGTTGCCACCTGGTGTGTACTGTATCGTTCCTTCCACATTTGAGGCTAATGAAGAGGGAGAGTTCATTCTGCGGGTCTTCTCTGAACACACGAACAATATGGAGTAAGTAGCTGGTTCCAGGATACAGAGACTTTCTTCATTTGTCATGAGCCTTGAAGTTTTATCGTGAAAACCAACCATTGGACCTCATCCTGAGTCTGTTTGACATTTTCACATCCTGTTTCCTTAAGATAAGTTTTAATATGTCTCCAGAGTTCATACGAGATTTTTCAATGAAGACTTTGTATACTTTTTTCTCATGAATGCTAGAACCGCCGCCTCGATCAAACTAACGAGAGTATGGTCTGTGGTGTTCTTTTCTAGTGATGGTAAAGAAGGGATTTGCATAACAACTGAATAATTATGAACATCTTCAAGGAAATCACTGTATAGTGACAGTAATTACTTGGTTCAATATTTACATACATGCATATCTCATGATTAAATTTAAAACAAGGAACGTAAATATTTGTGCATTTTAGTATTTTGTGGTTTGTGATTCTTTCTAATATTGTACAGTTTTGTGAAGTTTTGGATATATGAGTTCAAGCTTTCGCGGCGACCGAAGTTGATGAAAGATTCTTGGGCAACAAGCCGCGTCAGGTGGCCGAACGGTGAACAAACCATATCTTCTGCCAACTTCAAGGAACAGACTGGTTACCCAGCAGCCCTGAGGATGAGAAAAGAGATTGTTCTCGAAACGTTGGCAGAAGATACCGTTTGTTCACTGTTCAACCACCTGACGCAGCTTGTAGCCCGAGAATCTTTTATCAAGTTTTGGTTAATTTACTGCCTCCATATTTTTCTTCTGCTATGAAGATAAGACAGCTGGTTACTCTGAAACTTAATGAGGTTTTGATTTCAGGTTCTCACAATTTGAAGATGATTGTCTTCTAAGGTACTGTAATGTGTAGACTTTTAGAAGTTTACTGATATTTCAGAAATGCGTAGCCTACATAATCAGGTCTACCCATTGGTGGAGGCAGTACGCACCTCAGAAACAATGGTAAACTACCAGACTATACCGTGCAACATCCCAAAAGACATTCACTTTCTTTTTAAGGTTGTTGCAACTGCACAACCATGAAAGTTCTGTGTTGTGTAATGAATAACGTGAAAATTCAAATTTTAAATGAAAGCGTATGGTGGCGATTGCCATTGTGTTGCAGCGACAAGCAGTTTGACATTATTTGTGTCTTTGCAGGGAGAACGATGAGGAGGTCGGTCTTGGAGCAGTTGACGAGAGAGTGAGTATGCTGACAGTGTTCCATTTGCATGTGGCACATTTTCCACATCAAAGCATGTGTACTACGAGTATCAGTAAAAAAAAACACTAGGATAATAATAATAATAATAATATTGCATATACTAAACAGTAATTTAGAATGAATGATTGGTTAATTGATGGGTTCACTCGCCTTGCATGGTTATGTGCAGCTATCTGTTATGCAAAAATGGATCCAATAAGAACACATATATAAAGAATAAAATGTAAGCAAGGAACTAACCTAACCTAAACATGGCAGTGGTATTTCCCTCTAATGGGATGTATATTTTCCTTTCATGAATTATGGCTGACATTGGGCTGCTTGAAGGATTGAAGTTCTTTTAGGAGTGTTCATATTTTTATCCCCATTCTTGTAGTTAAAGGTTTTGGACCTCACCTAGTTCCCTCCTGGTGCCTTTTCCCGGGGAATAATGTTACCAAACCGAAGCTGACCGACCACTCCTATATAGTACCAAGTTTAAAAATATTTGGAGTTTTATATATGCCCCTGAGTGGTGTGTACATGACAACAGCTCTATAATGATCTTTTAATCTTTTATCTTTTCTGTTTTGGTCATACTGAAAGGAGTGACAGTGTTTCTCATTCTGCATCGCCAGTTTATGAGCTCTAGGTGATATTTCAGGCTATCACAGTGGCATGTATGACGACGACCGTCTTTTGGAATTTTACGCTGTGTAGTATGGTAGAAGTTTCCCAATGTTTTAGAGGTGCTTGCTGCCTCCATCATCAGAAACTACTCACTGAAACACTGGTAAACTTCTACCAGACTTTTAAGCATCCAAGAAGTCATCTTATTTCCAGCTCTTTGTTATATTAAGCAGAAAATATAGCTCAGTAATGTTTCTTAATGTGCGTTTTAAGAACACTGTTGCTTATGTCACATTGTACTTCACCAATGTGAATTTAAAGAATAAATTGTGTTATTCTGAAAAATACCTCTGACAAAAATAATGTCCACAGTTTACAGAAGAAAATGGTAGGGATCGTCAATTATAGTCTAACCTTCATACAGTAACATAGAAGCTACTTTGGTACATAGGAGTTATATAATTACATAGAGACTGATAGAGTAGTGTTGTACGGAGACCGTTAAATGTGTTTCGATAGTCTTTATGTTTGTCGATTTTGATAAAATTGATCCTGATTCCAAAAGAGCACAACTCCTAGCACTTTTACAGTAGAAGGCATGCGTTTGTAGTAGATATGAATTAGATTTTCCTGCATGTAATGTAGCGCTGTGATGCAGAGATTTCAAGGGGCACAGACAGCTGTTCTGACAGTCATTACATTTACTTTCTGAATGCCATTCACCTGGCAGCTCAATATCACCCGCTTGCCCTCGAACTCTCTCTGTCTCTCTCCCACTTTCTTACTCACTCCCATTTTTTAATCAATGATGGAACGTTAAAATGTCTGTAATGGTTTGTCATCTTTGCACCAGTGCATGATGCAAGTCCATGTGTATCTGAAAAAAAGAAACCTCCATGTGTATGAAGTCTAACCGCACCTGAAATGTTATTCATGTGCAGAGCCCATCTGGTAATGAATGTACACAATATTTCAGCTGTTCAAGGGGGAAAAGACATTGCTTAAATTTTATGTACAATTAAAATTTATGTTATCATAAGTACCTTCATATACTTAGTCTAAAGTGTCCAGAATATCACAAGTTTTATTGAAATGATCTTGACAGAAATATCAATGTATGATTTGAGGTTTTCACAGCGGTGATTATGAAGATTTCTGTCTTCTGGGTTGTTGCGCTGTGTAGTCTGGTAGATGTTTACCAACATTTCTGAGGTCATACTGCCTTCGTCATCAGGACGATGAATCACAACAACCTAGAAGACAGAAATCTTCAGAAATATTGATGTTCAAAACATGCACAGAAAGATTATACATTTGCTGGTCTTCGAATGAGTCGTGTCGTCTATGTCGCCTGTTTAGAGTAAATGTTCATTCTTGTCTCCCATCACCTTCCATTCTGTTCCCCATCTAACAACAGTTGTTTGTAGCTTTGATTAACAATGTGCTTGTTAGTTTGTAGTTTTCTGCCTGCTGTAATGTGCCATCCACCATCTTATAGGTTTGTGACACACCTGATGGATCTCCGCATGACAAGAGGCATGTAAGTCATCTAACCGCTCACTCTGTGCATGGTTCTCAACCTGTGTCTGCAGAAAAATCTGGGAAATTCTTTTTTTCCATTACTTGTACTAATTTTAAACTATCAAGACACATGTTGTAAATCCATGGATCAAATTTATGTTCACTTTTTGGTATAAAATGTTACAAGCTTTCAATGAAGGAGAACAAGAAATTCACATAAAGTTTTGGTTGAAAACATTTTAATGAAAGAGACAATTTGGAATATTGTATGTAAATTGGTAAATATATTAAAATGGTCTTAAGAGAACTATGTTTTGTTTGGACAGAGGTTAATGATTTTTGTTACTGTACAACAGCTTGATGGAACTGAGCACCGTACCTTTAAGTCGTAGTAGGACAACAGTTATTTTGTGAAAATGTCTTAACTGGTCATTTCAGGATACAAACTAGACACTTTCATGTTTTTCTTTTCTGACTTGATGGTAGTGACTACTTAGTAACCTGGTTGTCATTCTGACTGAGATGAATAAACAAAACTGAGAGGGGAACTTGTCCATTAAGTAAAATAACCATTATGAAAGTTTGTGTTTAAAGAGACATAGACCACTATATCATATTGTTATGAACAGCTTTGTTTGATATTGTTTTACGTACTGAACTATAAATGCACTAATTGGGGAATGTTGTATATTATTTGTACTTGCGTGTGATTCCTGTCATGCATTGGATTGCAGGTGGCGAACCAACCAGAACCAGAGGAAGAAAAGACACAAGACAAGGTGAAGGAGTTCTTCCAGAAGATTGCAGGAGAAGACATGGAGGTTGACTGGATGGAGCTGAAGGAGATCTTGGACTATGCCATGAGGAACGGTAATGTACTCTGTTCACAGCAACTGAATTTCATCTTGACGTGCACAAATCTGGGATGTAACACGAGTCCAGACTACACATATATCACACCTATGTTTGGTGATGTCCAGCTACATATATGGTGGAATTATTTACGATTATTTTTAAAATCTCTGTGATTTGGAAAGAAATTATGTGGTTGTAACAAAATTTGGTTCATGAGATATACTTTGAAACTTGTATATGATGTGAAGCTTTCACGGCAGCTTTCGTTAATAAAGTCTTCTCAAGCTGTCAGCTGTGTTAGTTGGTGATCAATCGCCGACGTTTCGAGGACCATCTCTGTCCTCGAAACTTCAGCGATTGATCACCAACTAACACGGCTGATGGCCCGAGAAGACTTTATTAATACTTTGAAACTTGTCAGCAAATTGTGATTTGAGCCTCAGTGGTATTTTGGTCAGGAATTTCTATTGAACTAACCATTATGTTTGGTATGCCTGAAAACAATAATTCATTGCTCTCTACTAGAAGCCATTTTGTAAGAGCCAGTTATGCTACCTCAGAATGAGATTTCTGATACTTCAGCACACTCTGTATTGATGGAAAAATAAACAAAAGGAGCTACGTGATATCTAAGAACACGGCAAAAGTACCCAGATTACTGGTTATACTATCAATATATGATAAAGTTTAAAAGTGAATGAAGTATTTTTAAAATGTAATTTTGTGGTTCTTGGTGACCATGTGTTTAGAGCAGGCTGCTGCTTTATGATCCATGGTCTTTAGTTTGATCAAGATATATGGTGGGCTCACTTCGAACATGTGTGTGTGTATGTGGAATTGAATCGTGCTACATCCCATTCTGCTTGAAAGAGCTACCAGCCAGGTGAGCCAAACTGGGTAGACTGTCATGTCAGGGGCTGAAACGTGTTGAAACATGTTGGACTAATATTCACTGCAGTTCTTTCTTCTGTAGTGGACAGTATGCAGTTCGTATTTCTTCATTTCTTAGTAATTTAGATGAATTAGGATAGTTTAGTGAGCAAAGTAACTGCAATGGTCAGGAGTGTGGACAGGGCTCTGGAGTCAGTACTAAAACCTCTGACTCCGACTCCTTCATAAAAGTTTAATATGTTAATAATGGTAAACCTACTAAAATGGTAAATGGTACCATAAGAGATTTCATCACCACCACTTGAATCATCAGCCTACTTTTTATACTTATAACCTATATTTAAATATACGTCTAATGGTTATTGCAGAAATTGGTTGATTTGTAGACAGTTTGTATTCTTAATGTACTGGAGCCAAAGTTACAAAGCATTATTCCCACACCATATGGCTCAACGTGTCATTGAATCGTGAGAGGCCGCCAGCTGCTCACACGGTAGAGAAAGTGTTCAAATAGTATTTTCTTAAGATTTTATCGAGGTCGGAGTCGGTGTATTTTTTACCGACTCTGACTCCACCTAAAATTACTCCGACTCCACAGCCCTGAGTGTGGATCACTTTCTTGGCCGCAGTGTCCAGGAAGATTCTCCTTCCTATCCAGTACATACCAGGGTTTCTTTCTCATACAATAAGTTGGCCAGAGCATGAATTTTATTTGTTTGTGGTTTATTCATCGATGCTGTCAGTAGCTCAGACAGTATAGCGTTAAATGATAGGATGATTAATGAATTGAAAAAGATATGGAAGTAAGTGATCATGGCATAATTTGTAGGTACCGTCTCTGGACTGAGGAAAACTATAAAGAAACCTCAGTCAGGATAGCCAATCTATAGGCCAAGATTTAAATCTGTGATGTCCCTAATGTAAAGTAGGAGTGTTGACCACTCTGAATCTGACCATTGCAGAGTGTCTACCATATTTATTTTATCTCGTAGCATAGTTGTAGGTGGCTGAGATGTTAATGTGGTTAGTACTGTGCTGGTAGCTGCTTTCAAATGGGCGAGTCAGGTTTTTGGGGGCTGTTCCTTAACTCTGTGTGATCCAGATAAGTGAAGAGATGAATGAGAAGGCATAAAGGATGTGCAGACACTTCCATTGAGCTTAAATGCAAAAAATGAATGCATTGTGGAGAGGTCATGTCTTTGCGCGTGTTTCGTCTCTAAAACTACTCAGTGGATTACAGGGGAAATTGACATACATGGTCTAAAACTGTAAGTTTCAGGAGAATTTTAGTTTTGGTAGTGTGGATCAAGTAAGATTTTGTACAATTTGTAAAAGCTGCTTATCAGGTTAGAAATTGGTACAGGATATAAAATATAGATCTGAGTAATGTCTTAAACTTTTGCCAGTCCCAAGTTTAACCAACTAGCTTTCATTACACTTTGTTCAGACAGCACACAAACATTTTTTGACATAGTAAATATTTGAAGAAATGCAAGGAAACATAATTGTCTGAATAGAATGCCATATGAGTGGTATTAAACAAAAAAATTATATTTGAGCTTAACACCAAGGCCATTGAGCTGTTCTGTATTGAATACAGTGAATTTGGTAAATATGTATGCTTCCTTGGAATACATCTTTCTACTGCTGTTTAAATTGATTTTGAAGTTCTAAGAAATATTTCCGTTGTCATGCTCGTTCACAGTACTTTTGTTTGGTTTAGGGCAAATTTTCATTAATTTTTAATGAAGGAATTTAATATTGATTGTGATGGACAGTTTGAACAGTCACTTTATGTAAAACTCTAAATTTTGAGTCTGAAATAATGTTCATCATACTTGAAAAATTATAATATTGAGGTGGCTTTGTAAAATTCAGACCCAGAATTAAATTGTTAACCATTTTAGCCACTTAATGGCCAAAATTAATTTCTTCAAATTTTTATTCTGCACTGTCTAGCCAAAATATCTTTCAAACAAAATGTATAAAAATCAATTTTCAGACCTGTTATAATATGATGTACTGTACATTCCTTCAGAATTCTGCATATTTATATCTCTTATGTCAGTTACACCTGTTTTCAGGTGTGTTGCAGAACACAGTTTTCAAAGCTTTTTGGATGGAATGTTAAAAGTTTAAAAGCAAAAAGATGAGACAACAGCTATGTGTTTGCACATCCATAGCAAAGAGCTGAAGTCTGTTGTCTGTACTGTAGAAAACGTTTCACTGATTCTATAATCTAAAGACTGCTTAATTATCAAAACAAATCTACTAACTCAGAAAATTGTGGTAAAATTGGTAATACTGGATCACACAGGGTTGAGCAGGATGTAGTGAGAGACTTACACATTGTTCTAGAACACTGAAATGTCTGCAGTGTAGCAGTCAGCCATTTGTTACATCTTGTTGTAACAATTCTTGGCACTAGCTTATGCATGTAGATGGACACTGCTTTACGTGTGTCATTTTGGCCACACTTCTCTTCACAGTTTGTGGCCAAGAGCCTTTAAAGTGAACAAGTTTGTCTTACTCGGAGCATGGGGGATTATTGCAAGTGGTGTGTCTCTTAATTTATCCACTGAAGAAATAATGAACATATTGAGGCTCGCAGGGTTGAGTGATCCAAGCTGTTGGCTTGATTATCGACTTGCGTAGCGTCAGCACACGTTCACACACGGCTGGAAATTTGACTGATGTAAAGTTACACTGAAAGTTTCCAGCCACTGGTCTGAATGTTTTAACAAAACAGTTACATAAGTTAGTCAGCCATCAACCTACATTTTTAACACAGTTACACAACATGATTAACACTACTCAGCTTCCATGTGTTGCAAACACAGCATAACATAGTTTAATGTAGTGGCAAAGTCTTGTTATTCTGTGACTCTTGGTTTTATGATAAGGAGAGGCGCCGAAGTGCTCCAGTAGAGATTTTCCGCACTCACATATTATCGCTGATTAAACATGCATGGTTTTATGTAGAAAGGATTATTGTATGTGTTCTGAACTTTAAAACAATTATAATGTGTGTCAATTTATGTGAAAACTATACCAAAAATTCTGTAAATGACTTGATTCACGTTACATTGTTCAAAACGGCGCAGTGTGGTTTGCAAAATCAAATGGAAAAACAAGCCAATTTAGCATTTTCTGTAATTGCACGTTTTATAACCAAACTCACTAGTTGTGTCTGTAATCTGTTATTGGCTTTGTCTTCCATCAATCACATATAAGTCGAGGCTTGAAGTACGTTTTCTTTCACCAGGAAATGATGGCTTTTGTGTGGTTAGAATTGGTATCAGTCAGCCTACCTGTTTGATCAGTGATTTATGAATAAAATTAATGTTATTGTACAGACTCTGCATTAGTGCATGCTGCAGTATTTTATAACCAGACGTTGTGACTGTAACTTTAAGGTCATTATTCCTGAATGTTTCCAGGAGGCTCCCTACTGCATCATCAGTATGTTTCCACATTTTGAATGATCATAATGAAAGTTTTGCAGCAATGTGAGGATTATTTCTGTATCTTGAAGGTGATATTTAGCATTGAACAGGTACACCGTGGGTAAAAATGTTTGACGTACGAGTTAATGTGTCGCATGTAAAAGTGTTAAAGAGCGCACAAGGATAAACTTTTATCATTTTTACAAAACCATAGGTTTATTGGTATTCTTTATGAGAGGAGCACCCATTTGAAGTACATACGAAGACATGCAAATTAGAATTAATTGATAGGCAGTGTATGTGTGTGTATCCCATTCCAATGAAAAGTTCATAAGTACCATCTGTTCCTGCTTTTCTTCTCTAAGGGCAAAACACACTAACCTGAACTCATCGTATGACACCGTATCAAGAAGTAAGTTGTTCCTAAACATAATATCTGAGCCTGAAATTTGTATTTAATAAAGTTATATACTTTTTTCCAGAACAATATGCTTGATACAAGTCCCCACTGTAGAGATACTTTTAATTGTTCAACCCTGATGATGTTTCCTGTAGCAGAAGTTGTCCCATTTTAATGCGGGTGACCTCTGCATGGAATTCATAACATGAAGACGTAATGAGTAGATCAAGTCCGTCTGCATGTTATAATTTCAGAACTACTCTGCTGATTTTGATAAAATTTGATAATGGGAAAGAAACAGTTTTTGGGTGAATTTCGTTTTATATCGTATAAATTCAAAGTAAACCCCGTTATCTTTTTTTGGACCATAATTAACACTTCAGAATTTTTCTCAAAAGTATTTGATCATTCAGAACCTTCTGCTATGAAGTATAAGTGTCATTTGTATCTTTAAATTTCATTGTAAATATTATTCTGTATGATGAATAATTAACAAAATACAAAGCAGAAGTCAGTATACTCCTGTGGAGTGCGGCATCTTCACTGTAGATTGACTTCTTAAACAGATTTATATCTGCAATAAATGAAAATCAAGATTGTTGACAGAAGTTCAGTAGGTGAATTAAGTGCCTCTAAACTCAACAACTACCAAGTGATACATACTTTGGATATTTAATGATGCTGTTTTAACTGAAAAGGTTTTAGAGCATGAAATGGAATGGGAACATGATCATAATTGTAAAGAGAGAATGATCTGAAATGAGACCAGTTGTAGACCATTGATAGTTCTGTCCCAGCATGCAGCTTCCTGTTGACCACAGGTGTAGCGTGTTGAAACTAACCAGCCTGCTGAGTCAGCGTACTTGGTGATGCAGAATGCAGCACTGCAGCTGTTTGAAACCTGTCTGTTTCTACTAGGTTAATGGTGGCTTTGTGTGTCCCAGGGTGTGCATGTGGTGGCCCAGTTGGTAACCCAGCATTGACACTGCATGTGAATGCTGCTGATTGCTGTCAGCCATTTAAATTGCATTTGTCTGTGTGTGTGTGTGTGCGCGTGTGTCTGCTTGCCTGCCTGCATGTAGCCTGTTGAAACACAGCTTCCATCTTCCATAGTTGCTATTGGCGAAACAGACTTTTGCGTATCCAGGCGTGTGTTAGTCACAGTTACGATATTGGCCATATTGTTCGGCCAGTGGTGTAGCAACATTTTCGTTCACCATTTTCAAATGCAGAATTTTATACTTCTGTGTAGTTTTAGTGACATCTGGGGAAAAACATGTTAATATAGAGGAATCCAATGCGAAGACTGTGGTTGTGGAATGATGTGATATTCATACCACACTTTAAGAAACTAACTCTGCTTTTGTAACCAAAAGGTTCAGTACCACTAATATCTTTGAATATGATCCTTGGCCATTTTAGTGCAGATCACATACTCCCAACATGTATTCTTAAAATTTATTCTGATACTATCTTTCCATCTGATTTTTTATCTTCCAAGTGGATCCTTATGAAGAAGAATTATTGTTTCCCAATCCAAATCCATATCCAAAATTCTTCACTTCTTTCCTTAAAATGAGCCTTGGCATAATTTTTAATTTACCTCTGTTAGAGTCTCATCCAGAGGAATGAATATCCTGACTGATGATTTTAATTCTTTTCTCTCTCGTACTATAATTTTACATTATATAATTCATTTAGCTGACGTAGCACCATTAAGCTGGCCACATTAAACTAAGAGGTCAGAGTATCCTGGGTACCGAAGGGTCTGTCTGCATGTGGTGGTTGTATCAACTAAGTATGTGTGACTGACGTTCCATCTGTAATTGCTGTTTGTTATGATTGTTACTAGAGCTGCCCGGTAGGTCTAGTTCGCAGGACTCGGTCATCACCATGATCCTTTCCGTCTTGTGTGGCGTGGTGTGTCGCGACACGCCTCTCGGCCAAGCATTCGGTAAGCAACGTCACACAGGTTAAGGTGCCAGTGTGTGGTGTGGCTTATTTAAAGCAGCCTAGGATGTCCATTTTGTTCAGAATTACAGAGGTAAAGTGAAAGATGACTTGAGTTGAAGTTGGATGCAATTCTGGACTATTGGTCACTTAAATCCACATTGATAGAGAAGGGAAGGTAAGAAAGTTGAACATTAAAATGCACAGGCTCAGGACAACATATGTAAAAGTTTGCTTTTGTTGAAATGTGCTGAGAGGTTTTCGACTGAACATTTAGAATGTTTATGTACAACATTTGTGAAACACAAACTGCAGCGTGTTCAGTAACGCAGAACAATATCTGTGGGTGGTAGAGCCCATGTGGATCCATCCAGTACCATCTCTCAGTTAGCTATATAATCTTTGTATTCCCTTAAAAAAATGTTGATTATCATCTGTGAAGTTAGTTACAATGAAAGTTTTCTTTTAATGCTGGGGAAGGTGATTTAGTAGTTTCAGGCTTTGGAGCTGAGAGATTAAACACTTTCCAACTCCCAGGAAATTTTTTTATGTAAATTGATAGATGCACCAGTGTTTCGATGCATCAGTGTTTCACTCTTTTCCTTGAGGTAGCTCTTACAATATACAGCTAACTAAAATGATAGCCTCTCAAGATTTGTAAAGTAACTACAAGATCTGAGACGCCCATTACTATATACAAATATTATAATTTTGCATCCGTAAGTTATATATGGGTGTGGAACTTGGTCTCTTGTCTTATAGTAAAGGCACATATTGAGGGTGTTTGAGAATAGGATACTGAGGAAAATACTTGGATCTAAGAGGGAGTAAGTGATAGAGGTCACAAAAAATTGCAATTAAAGGAAGACAATCATCTGGAGAGTCTTTAAGTTCTTTAAATGAAGTGCATTTAATTAAAGCGTAATGTGGAAAGTGTGTCTGTCTGTGTTTTTTATCTTTGAAATTATTTCATAGGTTGAGCATAACTTGGTATTGGAAGATCTACACTAAAGGTTATTGGATGCAAGAAGTTCAGATCACACTTTATCAAAGTTTTGAAAAATGAATGTGTAGTGAAACGTATAGATCAATTTATTTTGAAATTTGTTTTCAATATGGTGAATATTTCAAACCTTTTCATACAGAAATAAGGGATTTAAAACCTTGTTCTGTTTGGTTACTGGCTGAACTTTAATTCCAGTGTTACTGGTTTAGCAGTATGCTGCTGCGATACAGGGTCGACTAGACTACAGATAAGGCGCAACACTTGGATATTAAACGTTAATAAAATATAAGGAAAAGTAATTTATTTTTACATGATTAGCTTTGTCAACAGTGCAGTACTTGTACTCTATGGAGGTAGATTCATGCTTCCATTAAATTGACGTGAAAAACAATGAAGGTCTCAAAACTGCACAGAATGTATTTAGAATATGAGAATGCAACTTCTCAGTTTTATTAATATTTCATTGTTCTGAACCCTGAAACATGCTGTGTGCTTTGATTGCTTAACATTGTGACAGTAATGTAAACTACCATTTTAGTGAACTTTGTGTTGTCAAAGTGTCCAGTCTGGTGAAGGTTTGTCTGTGAGTGTCTCAAGCTAAACTGCTTTCTTCAATTTGTGATTGTCATCTTCGTGGGCCATACAGCAAAAGAGAGATGTGTAGGATGTGAGGCGATACCTAGGTTTATGTTGAGCTGAGTACATATTATTCTGACTGTCCTGCTGTTCCGAGGTTTAACGTGCAACATGCACACGGTGGCCCATGTGGATCATTATAGAATTTCTAGTAGGTGGAACAGGTTACCAATAAGGTTTTGGGAGAGAATTTTCAACAGTCAACCTGGGAGGGTTCAGTTTGATATTTAACCCTATGATTCACAAGGCTATTTTCCATCTGACAGTATAACATTTTCCCCTTTATTCCAAATTGAATAAACTGTAAAAAACACTTATTTACCCAAAAAATGCTGTGTAAGATTTCCCTTTATTTTGTGGTTTGGAAGTAAAGTAGGACAACACATGAAATACTGATGTTTAAAGTGTTAAATTACGTTTTCAGAATTATCCTCATTAATTGGAGACAAAAATGAATCATGGCATGGTCAGTTGAGTTGACCTTGCTGTGTTATAAAAAGGAGGGTAATCATTTTTTTTAATTTATAATTCTGATGCAATGAGTACAAAACATAATGAGGTTTCTATGCATTATAAACTTTGAATTAAAAGTTATAACTTTTACTACAGAATGTAGAAATATGGTAGCTGAAAGACACTTTATTCCTTCCTCAGCTGCGAAAATGGTATTTTGCATGCTCTTTGCTGATCTTGCACTGCCATTTTGTTTTATAAGTAGTGGTAAATTTTGGCTTTAAATATGTATGCATTGAAACATTTTGTCACAAAATTCACCCCATAAAATTTGAATGCATCTTACTCCAGAAAATATGGTTCTCAGATACAGCCTGCTGAATATTTTGTAAACATTTTCAGAGTTAATCTGTTAAGTGGATCTCTTACACCGAAGTTTGCAGGTGGACGAGAAAGTTAACAGTTTTGTACAGCCTATTTTGTTTTACGATGACCGTTGATTTTCAGCTGTGATGTAAGCTTGTACAAATGAACTTTAAAAAATTTACCTCTCATGGAATGTGTGTTTGCTAATGTGTACAAAAGTGTACATTTAAAAAGTTCATTGTGACAGTACTGATGACTGAATTAACATCATTTGCTTGCAAGAACTAAGTAAAGTACAAAATGAAGTCTACGGTCAAACAAGGATAGCAGTGGTTTGTTCAGAGTCTAGAGACAATTTGTGAAAACCCTGTGTGAGACTACTACATTAAAAGTTTATATTTTTCTATGAGATTTATACTATACTTTCTCTATATCTTTGCTTCTGTTACTGACATCGGAGCTCAGTATCTTGCTTTCCACCATTACTCTTTATCTTCCTTCTCATACGCTAGAAGCCACCATAAAGTAATAGGATTCTACATAACACCACTCATTTTTCTCATATTTTTCAACTTAAGGTGTTTTTTGTTGTTTTAGGGTAGGGGGTGCAAAGCAATTATATTTTGAACCAGGGTACCTTAGTATAACGTCTATGCGGTAAGCTGGATGACTAGAGTATGATTCCAGACAGAAAGTTTATTTTCACAGCCTCCTATCCAATGAGTAGTGGGGTAGGGGATTTCTTTCATTGGTGGTAAAGCAACGAGTATGAAGGCGACCACTTATCTCATCTAGTGTCGAGGTTAAGAACGTGGCGTTATACCTCCACTCTTCATACGTTTCAGTGTGGTGCTGCATTAGGCATGTGGTTCTTAATTAAATACAGGGACAAATTTGCCTTTTTACAATTATTGTATGACAATGGATCTTTGATGTGGTTCGTTCATAGATACTTTGATGATGCTGCATTTTATGTAATTTACTTTCAAATAAGTTGAGTGATTACAATGCACGGTAATCTGGAAAGGATGGTGAAATAGCTTGTTATGACCTGTTTCAAGGTATTGTTAACATTTTCTCAGAGGATAATCATGAGAACCTTAATCAGATGATCAGTATTCCAGCGGAGACTAAAACTGTGTACCTATGAGTACAATTAGGTGCTGCTCTAAAATAAGTAGACAGAAAAGAAAAGCAAAGATTGGAAAATTAACTGTAATACACTAGTTTGTAAAGAGTCTATGTTCTTGTATAAGGTGAAGCTTTTTGCAGCGACTGAAGTTGATGAAAGATTCTTGGGCTACAAGCCTCGTCAGGTGGCCTGTAGCCCGAGAAACTTTCATCAGTCTATCTTCTCGTTGGATTTTATAGCTTATTACTTGTGAGATGTAATTGATGTAATTTCATCTCTGTCTAATCTTGTTAGATGGGTGTATCATTTAAGTTGATATGGGCTGGCCATGTATCACAAGCAGTAAGCAGGAATAAATACACGCATAC